AAAAAACAACAAACGAACCAGGCTCTGATACCACTGATGGGTTTTGAGCATTCTAACACTTCCTAAGTGTACATGCAACCCTAATAACCTTGGATATATGTTTGTCTAATTATCATGCAAAGTTGAATTCCAAGGTTATATTCCTATCTAGCATACATGGGGAACAAATTTTAACTTGCATGAAAGATAGAATAACCTACCTTGTTGTTGCTTATGATCCTTGAAACCTTGTGAGCCTAGCACCCCAAGTGTGATGCCTCAAATGCTTCACACAACACCAAATGCTTTGGAATGACTTTAGAGAGAATACACACTTCTAAAATCGGCCTAGCCCTCTTATTTCTTATGTGTGTCCGATTTTGGTGGAGAATGGGTTTCTTATATAGTGTTGACACATCTAGGGTTACACCATGTAAACCCTAATGTGTCATGACTCTTCATTTCCATGACCCATGGGTTTGTAACTCCCATGGAGCATCCTATGGGTGGAACCCAACTTGATAATCCATGGAGCCTCTTAGCCCACTATATAAGATATGGAAGATTTACATAATCTACCCATATATTTAATTAGTTATCTTTTGATCACTAATTAATTCTAAATTAATTCTTGATCAAACTAATTAAATAATATTATTAATATATTAGAACTTATAATATATTAATAAACCATAAGTGTTATTTCTCTCATTTTAGTTTATCCAATTGCATGGTGCCATGCAACCCAAATGGACCATGCCGGGTCGGGTCAAGTACATACCAGAAATAGTTATGGACTTAGACACCTTATCCAACAGTATGGGCCCTTACTACTGAAATCACAAGACCCGTATGCACATCAAGGAAGTCACAACCCCTAGGGATTCTTTGGGAGCTGGTTCCCCGTTATTTATGTGGATTATCTGATATTTTTCCTGGTGTATTTTCAATATGGTGGCTACGAGACGATTCAAGACCGGATCCGGGTCGGGATCAGGAGCTGGCAGTCAGGGTGGCCCAGCCTTATCAGAGGACCGTATCAGGGAGATTATCTGTGAGGAGGTGGTTGCTATTGTCCGGGGTCATATTCCGGAGAAGTTCGGGTCTATCAAGACCGCGATGATGGAGTTCTTTGATGATCGCTACACAGCCATCGCTGAGACGGCTGCTGCTGCAGCCCGCAGCCGTGGCGGCTGCAGGTGCTGGGACAGGATGGGCTTTTTAGTATTGGGACTTTGATAATATGAAGCCCCCAACTTTTGATGGAGTTTAGGACCCGATTGTGACCATGAGGTGGCTATCTGACGTGGAGGGATGCTTCTTCACTTGTTCATGCCCTGCTAACCAGAGGGTCAGGTGCGATTTGAACCTCCTGAGGTCCGGAGTGAAGGATTGGTGGAGACTTGTTACAGGATCATACTCTGATGAGCAGAGAGTTGCAGTATCTTGGGATCAATTTAGGGATATGTTTCACACTCGCTACATTCCGCGAGTCGAGCGTGAGAGGTTGGCCCAAGAGTTTTTGGATTTGAGAAAGAGAGGGCGATGTTTTGCCCTGAGTTTGCTTCTGCTTAGGCTCAGATAACCCGTTATCTAAGCATGCTCAAGACGGACATCAAGCAGTTTGTTTCTACCCAGCGGTGTGATACTTTGTTGGAGTTACAGGAGGCCGCTAGGCGGCATGAGATTGAGATAGAGCTCCAGTTGAGAAAGCGGAGACAGGCCCCCGCGCAGTCGCAGCCTGTGCCAAAGCGGTTTAAAACCGCTGATGACAGATCCGGGGGCCGGAAGGGCCGCACTTGTGGCAAGTGCGACAAGGCGCATGAGGGTACTTGTCGGTCATCTTCTGGGTGCCACAATTGTGGCCGGAAGGGTCACATGGCGAGGGATTGCCGCCAGCAGGCTCCAACAGCCAGTTCTAGGATTTTCTATCATTGTGAATAGGTTGGCCATGTGAAGGCCAACTGTCCACCGCTCGCTTCCAGGTCGGCGCAGACTCCAGCGCCAGCTACTTTGAGGATCACTGACGGAAGTCAGGGTAGGGCGGAGCCCCTTAGGGCTCAAGGTCGTGCTTTCCAGCTGACTACCGAGGAGGCCAGGACAATACCTGATGTTGTGACTGGCATGTCTTTATCTCTTATCTTATTGTTTATGATTGTATTGTGTTCATATGATTGTACCTCTGTTAGGCACGTTCCTAGTGAACTCTTTTCCTGCTCTAATGTTGTTTGACTCGGGTGCGAGTCGGTCTTTAATTTCTCGATCCTTCAGTAGGGAGTTTGTCTTGCCTATGGGAGAGTTGGAGTGTCCGTTGCGAGTTTCTTTTGCCAACGAATACGGGGTTTCTACTTCTTCGGTTTATCAGGGATATGTTCTAGAGATTCTCGGGGTATCCTTTCCGATCGATTTGATTTTGATTCCTATGGGGGATGTTTGTGTGATCGTAGGTATGGACTGGCTAAGTTGTTTCAGTGCCATGATCGACTGTGAGGGTCAGCGTGTGGTGGTTCGAACCCCGAGTGGGGGAGAACTGGTTATTTATGGAGAGGGCACCATGTTGGGTTCAAGGTTTTGTTCGGCAGCCAGGGCTCGACAATATATTCAACACGGGTGTGCTGGTTATTTGGCTTATGTGGTGGATACGCGGGTTGGGGGTCAGGTGTCAGTGGCTGATATTCCGGTTGATAGGGAGTTCGCCGATGTATTCCCGGAGGAGTTACTCGGTGTGCCTCCTGAGAGGCAGGTCGAGTTCAGGATCGACCTTGTGCCAGGTACGAACCCTGACGCCGTACCGATTGGCACCGCCTGAGATGCAAGAGCTGTCATCTCAACTGCAGAAGGTGCTAGGCAAGCATTTCATCCGTCCGAGCAGTTCTCCGTGGGGAGCGCTGATTCTTTTCTTAAAAAAGAAGGATAGTTCACACCCGGATGTGCATCGATTATAGGGATCTGAACAAGTTGACGGTGAAGAACCGTTATCCATTTCCGCGGTTTGATGATCATTTTGATCAGTTGCAGGGAGCATCTTGGTTCTCCAAGATAGATCTGAGGTCTGGGTACCATCAGGTCAGGGTGAGGGAGGAGGACGTGGAGAAGAATACGTTCCGGACGCGTTATGGGCATTACGAGTTCGTGGTGATGCCGTTTGGCCTCACCAATGCACCTGCAGTATTTATGAATTTGATGAATCGAGTATGCAGGCAGATGCTCGATCGATCGGTTATCATGTTTATTGATGATATCTTGGTATATTCCAAGACCAGAGAGCAGCATGAGGAGCATCTTCGCGAGCTCCTGGGGTTTTTGAGGCGAGAACGACTTTATGCTAAGTTCTCAAAGTGCGAAATTTTGGTTGCGAGAGGTTCAGTTCCTTGGAAACCTCGTTAACCAAAATGGGATTTTGGTCGATCCGACCAAAATTGAGGCGGTGATGCAGTGGGAGGTTCTGAGGTCTCCCTCGGATATCAAGAGTTTCCTGGGTTTGGCAGGGTACTAGCGGAGATTCATTCAGGATTTCTCCAAGATTGCAGTACCCTCACTCGTCTGACGAGGAAGGGGGTGGATTTCCGGTGGGGACTTGAGCAACAGTCAGCATTCGAGACCTTTCGGCAGAGACTTTGCGAGACCCCAGTGTTGACCCTCCCGGAGGGAATTGAGGATTTCGTGGTTTTCTGTTATGCATCCATCACCGGTTTGGGAGCAGTCCTCATGCAGAGCGGACGAGTGATAGTTTATGCTTCGCGGCAACTGAAGCAGCATGAGGCGAGAGATTTAAATATGAATTTGAAATGATAGATACCATATAATTCGAAATTGTTATTAAGATAAAACTTTTTATCTTTAAATTTAAATTGAAATTGATTTGTTATCAAAATAAACGGGAAATCTTAGATATCTTTGAAAAGTGTCACATGTCAAAGAATAGAAAATAGACATTTGACAGTTTTAGGTTTTGTTTATTAGGATAGATAGATAGATAAATTTTCATAAATATAGGGTCCGGCATTGTTAACAAAATAAATTAAAATATATATTATGCAAATTACAAAGTAAAATAAATCTTAACGTGATCGTATAAGCTACTGGTACCTAAAGTCAATGCTGCGTTCCTTTAAGATAATTTTAAATAACAGGCATATATAATTTAAAATTAATGTGGTGATATCCTTGATATACGTTTTCCACTTTCCACACACCATTCATATAATTTAATTTAGTAGATTAGTTCGTTTAATATCTTTAGTGGGTTCATCAGGTTTTATTGATAATATCTATTACTGTCTTTGTTAAATACTTCAAAGAACATAAAACAAAGCATTTTTTTTTTTATGTATTTTCAAAAATTATTTTGCTAGAAAACTACAAGTAGTTTAGTTTGCAACTATATTATGAACACATCAATGGCAAAGCCCATTCACACTTTTTAGTACATATCTAAAAATTATAAACATTTGACAACTTTATAGCTAGCTTCATTATTACTGCATGGAAGAACAATAAACGTGTGTAATTAGAACCCATTATGACGAGGAGCTCATTCATTATCCTTTTGATAATGGTTTGAGACGATTAGAATAATTTGAACTTTGTTGATTAATTGGGCTTGCGGGGGTTGAATTTTGTACTACGCAAGTGGCGGTTTATCGACATGAACAAACATTAAGAAATCCGCTGCTTTATCTTGTTCATTAAGTTAAGCAGAAAGAAGAGTAGGTCCGTGTGAATGATGGAATAATATCTATAGAAAAAATACCAGATGAACTTGAAATGGTAGTGTGAAAACACAAACATAAAATTATATTGTATAAAGACAGCATATAATAATAATTAAAAGTCAAATTGTCATGACATTTTTAAAAAACAACACCTAACAAGTTGTATGATGGTTTGATGTATCTATAAGCTTTTACATTTGTCCACCTTTAGGTCGGCCACCACCTGCTGACACCACCATCTTCTACTCCTCGATCCCATATATTGCCACTGCCGTGACCCTCTCTGTCCCCTTAAACCTTTTCTAAATTGAGAAATAATCTTCAGCAATATCAAAAGCCATGTCTTCTTCTTCAGGGGTAAACCTTGAAAATTATCTAATTCCATTGGAGGAGATCAACCGTGCCACCGAAAACTTCAGTCAACAGAGATGTATTGGAGGCGGTGGATTTTGGTGCAGTCTACAAAGGACAACTCTCTGAACGCTGGCAAAACCGCACAGCTGCTATCAAACGGCTAGGTCAGGATAGCCACCAAGGAGAACGTGAATTCCGAAACGAGTTAGAGATGATCTCAAAATTTCACCATGAAAACATCATATCATTCATTGGTTATTGTGATGAAGGCAATGAGATGATTATAGTTTATGAGTATGCGATGAATGGAAGCCTTGATCATCATCTCCAAGAGCCACATAAGATGCGTTGCATAACATGGACACAACGCCTCATGATTTGCGTAGGGGCTGCAAAAGGACTGAGTTACCTTCACTCGGGTCTTGGGGAGCATAATAGAGTAATACATAGAGACGTCAAGAGTGCTAACATTTTGTTAGATAACAATTTGGTCGCAAAAGTTTTGTGATTTTGGCTTGTCAAAAAATGGTCCAAGAAATCAGCCTGATACCCAACTCTATACACGGGTTGCGGGTACCCAGTTTTACATGGATCCTACTTACCATGAAAGTCGTATCCTCCGAAAAGAATCAGATGTATATTCGTTTGGCGTGGTACTCTTTGAAATCCTATGTGGGATGCTGGTCTATCATGAAAAGAGATTTGGAGGTGATGGCAAACAATTTCTCATGACTTCGGTCCGGCGATACTATAAGAAGGAACCTCACAAGGTAATTGATCCCCATATAATGGAACAAATTGATAGTGGTGCTTTTGATGCATTCAAAGAAATTGCATATCAGTGCATTAGTTTCAATTCGACAGAACGCCCTACGATGGAAAAGGTAGTTGAGGGGATTGAAGAAGCACTAACCATTCAAGTAAGTCATTTCATTTAGTATTTTTGAAGAAAATCAAAACTATTGTAGACTTTTGGATGACGCAACATGATAAATTGCCCTAATCGTTTTCTGATGTCAAATAATCATAACAAATTAAAATTATTTTTGTCAATTGCATTTGTCCCGACCAACTATCTAATTTGAGAATGTGGAGTACGAAATCTCATAGATTAAAATGATGATTTGTGAATTCATTAAACTCTGATAAGTTCAATGCACTGGATGTGGATGACTCAATAATCAATTTCTGTTTCCTTTTCATATTTTTGTAGACCTACAAACGCTCTGCCTGCACCCCTGAAGTACGTTCTTGGATAGAAAGTGCCATCCATAAACTAAAGTCCTCCAGTTCCTATGAGCAGAGAATGGGCGCTTATGAAATGAACCTCCTTGCAAAAAGAAACAACGATAACCTAGTCGCCATTGCCTATGCCGGTGTAATCCCTCTGCTCAAAAACCTCCTCACATCACCGGATTCCCAGGAACAGGCAGTGACCACTCTTCTTATCCTCTCAAGTCATGACGACAACAAATTCATCATAGTGTCTTCCGGGGCTGTTCCCGGGATCATACATGTCCTGCGAGAAGGTAACATGGCAGCACGGGAGAACGCAGCTGCTACCCTTTTCAGCCTCTCTTTAATTGATGAAAACAAGGTAACCATCGGTTCTGCAGAAGCGATCCCACCTCTTGTGTTACTGCTGAGTGAAGGTACCCAGAAAGGGAAGAGAGATGCAACCACTGCGTTATTTAATTTATGCATGTATCAGGGTAACACAATAAGGGCAGTGAGGGCCGGTGTAGTCCCAGTGTTGATTGACCTTCTTAGGGAACCACAGGGTGTGTTGAAGGATGAATTGTTAGCTGTTCTTTTTGTACTCTCAACCCACCCGGAAGGGATATTAGCTATAGGTAAAGCAGAAGCGGTGCCTGTTCTCGTTGAGGTTATTGGGAGTGGATCCCTGAAGCTCAAAGAGACTGCGGCTACAGTTTTGGGGAAACTTTGTTTTGGAGATCAAAAGTATTTGGTGGAGGCTCAAGAACTTGGAGTTGTTGAGAAATTGAAGGATTTGCTATATCATGGTACAGATAGAGGGAAGAGAATAGTCGGCCAGTTGCTAGAAAAGATGACCACATAAGCAGAGCAACAGAAGCTATTGGTTTTCGTTGATCCATCACTAAATTTAGATGTCTAAATTTTATCAACGACGAATTAGCCGAAAAATGTCTAAATTCGTCATTGCTAAATGCTAATCGATGTTCACATATACAAATACTCATGAATTTTGTATCAAGTCGTGGAGGTTTTACGTTTCACAAACACGTATATAGGTGTCGAATGTGTAGCAGCCGGTAAAACAAAGGAAGGCGTTGAATATTTATGTTTTGTGAAAGACCGAGCAAAAACAACGTCAAAATGGCCAAAATTAAAAATCATTAATGGACATTACTAATCTGTTGTTCATTTTGATGAAGTACTTTTCCTGGGAGATGATAAATCCACTTTTCTAATTTATCCTTCCACTTAAAAATTTTTGATTTTCCAATTATACCCTTTTGTTAATTAAAAAAGTTATATGATGAAACGGCCTCCTTCCTAAATCCTAATCGGCTATCAAGAATCCGCTCGTCCATCTCTGGTCGCTGCTCCTTCATTGCAGGTGGCCGTTCGGTGTTGCTTCTTCGCCGATCTCCGGCTGCCACTCGCCAGCCTCCAACGCTGGTACTTTTCCGGTGGGCACTACTTTAGTTATTGCTGATTTCGTCTGATTAGTCATTAGGGGTCAAGAACAAAGATTAGTCATTAGTCATTAGTCATTAGGGGTCAAGAACAAAGCATCTTAAATGTTTGATTATATTGTTGATTACATTTGTTTCATCTGATTAATAAGTTTTCTTGTTCATCTTTTTTAAGGACATATTGGTAATATTGCTAATTCATCTGATAAATAAGTTTTTTGATTCATCTGATTAATAAGTATTCAGATTCATCTGGTTCATAATGTGATAATCAGCGGATTACATGTTTTTCAATCTTTTCATAAGTTGTTGATTTCATTTGATTACTGAATAAGTTTTTTAAATTGGTTCATTTGATTAATCAATAAGCATTTTAAGTTTTGAATCAAACTAGTCAGATTGAAATGAAGTGAAAATTTTACTGTTAAAAGTGATTGTTGATTCCATTTGTCATTTGATTAAAATGGATAAAACTGAATGTTAAAATTGATTAACATATTGGAATCGAGAACTCTGTATACAGACAATTGATTTTTATACACAGGAAAAAGAAATAAAAGAAATGTTATGTTGCAAGGATGCGAATCCCCGACCTGCTCCTTTGTTCAATCTTTGATTTTAGATTTCTGAAGTCGGTGTTCATGAGATTTTTGTTTCTTGATCATTTTTGATTTGGGATTGCTTGTTTTCTAATAGATGAACTCAACAATAACTAAAGCAGTGGTCGGAGGCTGGCGAGTCGCGGCCTGAGAACGGCGAAGAAGCGGCTTCGATTAGGAAGGAGGCCGTTTCAGATTCTTCTTTCTTTTCTTCATATATATATATATATATATATATATATATATATATATATATATATATATATATATATTTTAATGAACAAAAGGGTATAATGGGAAACCAATATTTTTGTAAGTGGAAGGATAAATTAGAAAAGTGGATATATCAGCTCCCACTTTTCCTACGGATTGTGACGTATAGTTGGATGCCGTCGTTAATTCATCACTAAATTCATCAAAATCAACCACAAATTAGCAACGAAAGTTAATCAATTTTAATTTTGGGCACTTATATATTATTATATTATTTGTTAGCTTAATCGAACAAATTAGCAACGAAAGTTAATTAATTTTAATTATGGGCACTTATATATTATTATTTTTTAGCTTAATCGGATTTAAGTGCAGGGGCATTTTTTAAAACTTTCTGTTTTGACAGTTTTTGTATTGGTTTAGGCTACTACTTTCCTTAGGTTTTATGTTTATTCTCCTACTTAGTTTTATAGTTTAATCAGGATACTTTTTGTCTAGTATATATAGGAACATATGTTAGACGTATGAAATTAAGTTTTCCAGAAAATAAACTTGGTCAACAAGTAATTTTTGAAGTTTCTTTCTTCTTGTTATTTTTCTATGTTTTTTTTCCCTTTGTTGACTGAATTATATTTTGAGCATCAAGGTAAATCAGGTTGTTACCTTACACTTGGTATCAGAACCTAGGGATTGTGAGGACATAAAATGCCGGTTTAAGAATCGGTTTCAAGAAAAGCCCTTCGCTGCAAGGTAGACGCAACACGAAACTGGGTTTCGTTGAAGGGGTGTGTGATTAGGTTTTGATCGCAAGTTAAAACATATTAACAACAACCCCGATTTCTCTTGATCAGGCTTGTTCTAACGTTAACAAGAGACTAACCGGAGATGTGTGATAAACGGGCGGGAAGACATCAAAGCGGGTGACTTTGATTCAGTTCGTTTTTGCAGGTAACGGAAGACGGTAAAGGTGGTCGTGACCTTGTCTTCTTGATTGGTGGAAGAGTGCTCTCGAAACAAGCTTGATTAAAGAGGCCGGGGTTGTACAGAGAGATAATAGGATGTCGATGGCTATCAAAAAAGGGAGGTTCGATGTCGTATCAAGTTCTGGTTTTGACTCCAACAAATTATCCGGTATGGGAAATCAAAGTCAAGGAGATTATGGTTGCACATGACATATGGGAGACGGTTGGACCGAGGGCGTTCGGTGCAAGTATCTCTCGGAATAGGAGTGATCGGAAAAGATATGGTTGTCAATACAAGAAGGGAATAGACAAACAACACGATGTTAACATTATGGCGATGGAAGTTCAAATCGGGTGACTTTAGATGTGGTTGGAGAGAGGTCGTGAATTGGAGAAAAGTCGAGATGGTTATGAACGTATCCAACGGGATGTTTGTTAGGTTTCTATTCAAAAATTAGTTTAAAAAACTTAAGATTCAGCAACGGAAGAATTTGAAATTTTCGAATAACATAAACAAGTTAAACAAACCAAGGATCTTCTTGCAACGTTTGGAAAGAAAACAAACAACCAAAGAGGAAGAAGAAATAGATAACAACATTTGTAGTCTTTGAGTCCTCAAGGGGAGGCTTGAATATTGAAGAAGAATGAAAGTAAAACTTGACCTTTAGTAATCCTCCAACAATGCGTCAAGTTGATGTAGATGCTAGTCCAAAACTCTTATACTGTTAAGCTTTTAGTTTATAACCAATATCAACTCAAATAGAGCAAAAGCAAGCAAGTAAAAATTCCAAGTCTTGAACAAAAACTAGAGAGAATGAGTAAGAGAAGTGGGGTTACGGTTTTGGCTCTCAAAAGTGACCAAAATGAAAGCCTCTACAAGCCTTCATAAAGCAAGTGTATTACACATAAGTCCTTATCCCATTAAGCAATTATGACACTAGACAATCTTGTTCCTCATACATGCAAGCTCTACCTATTACTTTTGATTAAATAAACATGAAAGGAATGCTTTGATCATCTCTCTCAATCTACGATTTTTCAAGCAAAAGAAAGGACAAGGTTTATAAATTTTATACACTTCTTTTATAAAATTTGCCTTAACTTTTTGGTAAAAGACAAAAGAATTTATCTACTCCAAAAAGTTGTGCATGTCTTATTAATTCATACCATATGAAATATAATGTTACATGCCATTGACATATCATTTATTTCCATTGAATAAATATTTTCCAATCAATTATAAGAGTTTCTGAATATTTATTAAAATCAGTTACTAATAAATAATCAATTGTATCAAGTTATTGTTAGTGTGATCCTTTAGGATCATATATGGTATAATAATATCATTTTATAATGACTATTGGGCATATAGATTTTTCAATCTCTCACTTGCACAAGACTCATTATAGAGTGATATAGACACTGGTGAATTTCTAGCAACATTTCACTGCCCCTAGTAATATATGACTTTGTGCCATTCTATCAAAATCCAGTTCGTAGAAGCTCAAAGCTACAAATTGGTGTATAAGGTGTAACACCCTAAATTTTCAAATAAATTTTTCATTTAAAATCGCATAATTCTCATAACACATATGTGACAACCCGAACCCTTTTCTAGTTTCCGTTAATTAATTTCCGTTAATAAATTTTATTTTATTGGGTTCCGTCAACTTCCATCGGATTGTAAAACCATTTAATTATATATTTTGAGTTCTATATTCGAGTCGGAACCAAAAGCACGCGGAATTTCGGGAATTTCTTCGAACAAGACCGAGTTCAAGGACTGACTTGAGTACACGGCCGTACACCCGTGTACGGCCGTACACTCGTTTACGGCCAGCGTTGGGTGGACCCCACCACCGACCAACGACAACCCCTATAAATACGAGACCCTACCCCCACGTTTACGGCCAGCGTTGGGTGGACACTCTCTCCTTTTCTCTCTAGACTATCGACCGTACACCCCTAAAAGCACTTTTATTCTTCCGGAAAACATCGAAAAACACCATTAGGGGTCATTTCGGAGCATCTAGAGCACGTTTCTCGTCGAAATCAACATCTTTGTTCTTGAGTGTACGACCGTACACCTTCAAGTTCATTGACCGCACACCAGTCCACGACCGTACACCTTCAAAGGCCGTACACCTTCAAGGGCCGTACAACGTTCACGGCCGTACACCTTGTTCACGGCCGTAAACCCCATTCACGGTCGTACAGACTTCCTAAGCAGTGATTTAGACTGAAAACCCACTTTACTCGATTCGATCAAGTCCCGGTAACATTCCTTAACCGAACTCGAGTGTTTTTCTACACTTTATCTAACGAAATCACTAATTTAAATACATAAATGTATTTTAATTGTTATTAGGATTCCGTTAAGTGCCATACGCTACAACTCGAGGGTCTTCATTCCAATTCGTTGATTCGACGTTTGCACACTACTAACAGTGAGTTCATACCCCTACGCTTTTTATGATTTTTAATGTTTTCAGGGGGGGGGGGGGGGGGAATACAAGCCAAACATAAATGATTTTAACAAGTTTAAAAGTTATGCAATTGATACAGTCAAACGATTTCCATGTTTTATAAAATATTTAGATATTTTATCCCTTTTGTACTATGTTGAGCATAAGGGACACTT